ACTTTCACTTTTTGGAACTTGAGTATTTCATCATGCTTTCTATTCCACCAAGCACTTGCTACATTTGCAGTTTGAAAACAAAATATTCTGGGGGCTGGAAATATAGCTCAGTGGTACGATGCTTGCCTGGCAAGAGCAAGATCCTGAGTTTGATTTCCAGCACTATAAAAAAAAAATCTGCTTCTGTCTAGGAACTTTGTTAAACAATTTAACAGGGCCAGTTCTGGCAGCCTGGATACTTCAAATTCTTATTTAGATTTAGCACATTCCTTGTCAAGGTAAAAGTTGATTTTAGAATTTTCTTGCTATAATTCCTATTTGTTTAAATGCTTCTATTAAATCACACACTAAGACATAAGATTAACATAAAATTAGAATGCCTGGGCTGAATCTTCTGTTACCACACTTGGTGATTTTCCTTTTTCCAAATACAGTTCCCACACTTCTGAACAAGTCCTTTGGTGGGGACACAAACAGCAGTGTAGGGTTCAGTGACTTTCATTATCAAAGCATTGGTTTCTAAACTTTTGTTTTAAAGCCTCGATTTCAAACTGCTGGAGAGAATTTTTCCAGACCAAAGATACCAGCCTGCCAGCCTAGGCACATCATTCTCATTTAATTTTACCCAACATGTCAGACAATAATAGGGAAGAAAAAAAAAAAATAGACAAATTGCTTGGTGTGGTGGCGCATGCCTGTAATCCCAGCATTTGGGAGGCTGAGATAGGAAGATTACCACAAATTGAGGTTAGCCTGAGCTAAACAGTGAGGTCAAGGTTATCCTAAACTACATGATGAGACCCTGTTTCAAAAAAAAAAAAAAAAAAAAAAAAGACAAATGTAAATACTCTGTGCCCTGTATTTAAACAAACAAACAAACAAACCCAAATCTACCTTTTCCACTTTGAAAGTAATGGACATCTTTGTTTCTAGTAATAAGATCCTCTCATTAATTTTTACAGCAAATTCCTTTATGATGTTGCATAATATTGTTGGTACTGGACTAATAAAAGATGACTGTGACCTTCTAGGTTCTGTCACCACAATGCACATCCTGTGTAACTAAAACACTGACAGGGCCGTCTCACCCCAAGGTACCCCCGCTTCTATGTGAAAACCAACCAGGTGAGCCCCGAGGTCCCCTGCACCGCAGTCTGCCCTGGATTCCACTCTTTGACCCCTGTCTTACAGGTGATTGAGTGACAGGCATCAAAAGCAGTGACCTGATGCCTTTGGAAAAAAGGAGAAGAAAAACAAATTAAAAAAAATTTCACACCTTCTTCATGGGCCAGGGATGCAGCTCAGTGGCACAGAGCTGGCCTGGCAAGCACGAGGTCCTGAGTTCTATTCCTGGTACCCCAAACAAAACAAAACAGCCTCGAAAAGAGTGAAGAGGCCAGTGGATTTGGTCCTGGCCTCTGTGGTTCCTGGGCTTGGGCTCCAGCCAGGGCTTCAGCTTATGTCCCGACTTGTGCAAACAACTGTATTTGGGTTTATTTTGGTGCCGGGAATCAGACTCTGGACTTTGCAGCTGCCAGGCAGGTGCTGCGCCACTGAGCTAGGTCCCCAGCCCACTGTCTGCATTTGTGCAGTACTACTGGGCAAGGGTGGGGGGAGTGGCTTGAGGCAGGCAGGCAGGCAGGCATGCCTGACTGAGGCACTCGCACTCGGGGGTCTTAGGACACCCACGGGGCAGTCTCTTGGTCACAGGAGCTCATTCTCTTGCCCTGGCTCAGAAACCTGTTAGACACCAACACTTGTAAGTCAGGCCCTGGCATAACAGCACCTGGCACCAGATGGAGCCAAGCCTGCTGGGTCATGCCCCGGGGTCAGTCCATCGCTGCCTATGGTCATACAAGCCTGCGGATATGTGGGGGGGAGGAGTGTTCTGGGAGAATTCTGCCCTCTTTTCCAGCTCCTGTACTCATTCAGTGAAAACTGTGTTATTGTTTTGACAACTTTTTATTATTTTAGAATCAAATTGAAGTGCTACAGGGCCGGCCAAATAGCTCAGCAGATTAAAGGGCCTGCATGCTGGTGCAGGGGCCAGAGGTTCGTTCCCCAGGCCTGCCATGCTGGCCCCGCCCCTGGGATGCGCTGAGATGGCAATTGAGACTGGGTGTGGTGGCGCACGTCTGCAATCCCAGCTCTTGGGAGGCTGTAAACAGGCAGATCACGAGTCTGATCTAGTAGTGAGACCCTGAATACCCTGTAGACCCTTCCCTAAAAAATACGAAAAAAAAAAAAAAAAGCCATTAGTAAACTGTCATTGCAGCTGGGCAGGAAGGGTCACTGCCCTTGGACGGTTAAGGGCTTCTGAGAGAAGGCAGTGACGCCAGTACCTCAAGAGAGCCCTGCACCAGGGACCCAGTGGGTACCACAGTGGGACAAAACGAAGAAGGAAAGTGCCTGACTAGATTAAAATTCAGTTTGTAAGCAAAGTTCTGGAAAAAAAAAAAAAAAGGGATGAGGGATTTGAGGCTGTGTGGGAAAAAAGGTTAGGATTCATAATTTAAAGAAAACTTTATAAAAAAAATTTTTTTTTCTTTTTTCACTCCTGGGGTTTGAACCCAGGCCTTCACACTGACTTACACTCCCAGCCTTTTTATTTATTTAATTTTATTTTTTAAATTTGAGGCAAATTCTCAATAAGTCACTAAGTTGCCCAGGTTGGGCTTGAACTCCTTATAATCCTCATGCCTCAGCCTCCCAGGATGCTGGGATGATGGGAGGGTACCATCACACCCAGCTTCATCTACTTTCAATTCAAGGTATCTGTTATATTTTTGTGTATTTTTATAAGGGACCCAAATCATTTTTTCCTACATAAAATGAGGAACAATCAATCAATAGGAAGTTGAGGGGCCGGGGAGATAGCTCGGCAGTCTAAGTGCCTGCCTGGGAAGTGCAAGGACCCAAGTTTGATCTCCAGTACCACATACTGTGCCAGTCCCATGCTGAGCCAGCTACCAAAACTGGTCATGGTGGTGCACACCTGTTAGCTCAGTGCTGGAGAGGCTGAGACAGGAGATCACTGAGTCTGAGCTGGCAGCAACACCCTGTGCCAAATAAATAAGTAAATAAATAAATAAAAGATTAAAAACAAAAACAGGAAGTTGAGCTGCCTGGCTACCCTATCCTGTGTGCAGGGGAGGAGTCTTGGGTCTCCTTCATGGTCAGGGCACTCAGACCAGGAAGTTTTGATTTGTGAGTGAGGTTCTGTGGCTCCGTGGTGCATGTGAGAGAGCTTAGTGCCTGCTCTTTCCTGCAGGTTGACAACAGGAACTGGGCCCTGAACAGGAGGTACATCCTGTCCCTGGATGACGTCTTGCCGGCACAGTCACCAACCTGGTCCCTCAGCTCTTTCTCGCAGAGAATTGAGGATCTTCTACCATCTTTAACAACTCGTTCTCTTTAAAACTAGGATCCTGGCCACATTCCAGACCCTCTGGCCACCCTAAGCTGTCCGCACCACCCTTCCTCTCCTCTCATGCAGCACTCTCCTGGGTATGTGCAGGTCTGGCCCCCGCGGTTGCCGGGTGTAGTGGGCGACACTGTCTTCTAGACTCCTACAGCCTGTGGCCACTGAGTCTCCTCCTATATTTCCCAAGCAATGGGTCTGAAGATAGCTGACTGGGTCATGGCTCTAAATTCCTTTATTCCTTTTTTTTTTTTTTTTTTTTTCAGAGCTGGGGATTGAACTCAGGCCCTTGTGCTTGCCAGGGAAGCACTTACTCTTCTGAGCCATCTCCCCGGCGCTCTAAATTCCTTTAAGTGCTTGAGAATCCACGTGGTCACTTCGCTTCTGAAGCTGACCTAGGTGAGAAGACATTGCTGGGAAGCCACGCTGGCTCAACTTGACCTCTTGTCAGTTCTTTTAGACAGGTTCTCACTGTGCAGTTCAGGCTGGTCTCGAATTCCTCGCACCTCTCCTGCCCCAGCCTCCTGAGTGCTGGGGTTACAGGCATACACCACCACGCCCAGCACTGCATCTCTTCTGAGGGCAACGAGCCTGTGCCATACAGCTTCTTCAAACAAAGTGTGAAAATAGTAATATTCTATGCAGAAGCTGGGCATGGTAGTATATCCTTGAAATTCCAAAATTTGGGAGGCTGATGCAGGAGCACTTGCAAGTTCAAGGCCAGCCTGGGCAATTTAGTGACTTATGGAGGACGCCCTGTCTCAAAACAAAAAAATAAAAAGGGGCTGGGGATACAGCTTCATACAAAGGCCCTAGGTTCAATCTACAGTAATACAAAAGAAAAAAATTTTCATTAGAGGAGGACTGTGAAAAATACTGACACCTCATGTCAGCGTGGAGGTGTCACATAAAATGACTATTTATCCCAAAGACAAGCATTGGAAACACTGAGCCAAGAGCTCAGACCTCCCATGGGACCTGTTGGTGTCAGACTGCCTGGACTGCACCTGTGTGGCTGTGAGGAGCTTTGCCAAGGGCTTTCTGGGGCAATTCCATGGAGGCACAGGGAACACGGTGAGCAGTGAAGCTGAACAAGCAACACGGTAGCCTCAGCTTCATTCAGGCTAAGAGAAGTCACCACTGGACACGTGGGCTGAATGTGCTGAAGTGAAACCCTCACGCTTGGAGGAGTGCGGCTTGGTCGCTATTAACACTGGACACACTAGTCACCCATAGAGTGATCCCCTTTGGGTGACTTCATCTCAGGCATTATAGCACTTGGTCAGGTAAGCCCCATCAAGGACTGGGTGACTGGGGAACAAATTTGTGCCAACACCTGCCTCCATAGTCTGGCACGGCACAGGATCACTTAGACAAGTGCACTGCGCTCAGCACACCGTGGGTTGGCTTCTTGGAGCCCTGGAGCCCTCCCCTTCCCCATCACAAAAGCAGTGCACGCTGCAGGCCCTGTGCGTAGTTTTGCATGCACTGCACAAAAATCTCTGCTCAGCTTCCTTGATGAGTATCATTCCCTCATACGAAATCCTCCCCACGCCAACAGCACAAAGCATCAGCTTACCTGCCATCGAAGAAAAAGAACTTTCCGCGTCCATTCTTCTCTCCATGAATGAAGCTGCCCTCGAATCTGTCTGTAGAGGAGTAGGTGACAGTGCAGAACCCATGCGGCAATCCATCCTCATCCAGGTGCCCTAAGAACGAACCACAGTGAACCTTAGCGCGGTCCGGCTTCCCCACTGGCTACCCAAGAGCTCCTTTCCCGGCACAAGGCTACCAAGGCACAAAGCTTTCACACCCTTGCCTGTACCGCAGAACCCACCTGATTGCTTCACAGATTATGCACTGACGTGTCTACACAGAGGGGCACAGACACGCTGCAGAATGTGATGAAAACAGGCTTGCATCCTCCCAGGACTGAGAGACTGGGTGGTGCATCCGCAATGCTGCTTACAATTTACCAAGTACTGCGCCCCCCCCCCGCCCCCGAGCCCTTCTCTACTTGGAACAAATGTCCTCCGTCTCCCATGCTTTGCTGAAATGGGGCTCAGAATGCACAATTATAAACTGTTTCCTGCTACTCTGTCTGTGGAAAGCATCAGCTAACTCTTGCACATTGCGAGGACGTGGTGTGATTTTATGTATCACCTACAATAGGACGAAGGGCCAGCCGAATAGCTCAGCGGATTAAAGCACATGCAAGTAGGAGCAGGGGCCAGGGGTTCGATTTCCGGGCCTGTCGTGCCGGCCCCACCCCCAGGGCATACAGAGATGGCAATTGAGACTGGGCATGGTGGCACGCCTGTAATCCCAGTCCTTGGGAGGCTGTAAACAGGCTGATCACTACAAGTCCCATCTAGTAGTGAGACCCTGAATACCCTGTAGACCCTTCCCTAAAAATACCAAAACAAAACAACCACAACAAAAACCAATAGGATGAGGACTGGCAGCCAATCTGAAAACTCCAGTCACATACATGTCACACTCAGACTAGGGACAGAGCCACATCACCAACACTGCCATCATATGTATGCACTTCACTGAGAGTCCTTTTGAGTTATGCTTATGCTTAATTTCACATTTTACTTTGCAAACTCATTCAGCAATAACCTTATCATATACCTCTGGCTACGGTGTGTGAGGGAGCTCTGCTTTAAATGGATCTGAAGTATCTCTGTAGTCACTTAAGTAGTTATTCTGAACTTTGGCAGGCATCATGACCCTCATCTTCCAATTGCTGGCTCGTCCTGGGTCACAGCCAATACCGTAACACCTGCATCTCCACCGCTGTTTCCTGCTACTCTCCACCATGCAGGCCCAGGGATCACCCACTGGGGCAGGCCCAGCCATGCTGGTGAACAAATTTTGCAGAGATAGGTGAAAACACAACCAGCAAATACTCTACTGGCTTTTTCCTGGGTTAACTATCCAGGTCCTGGATGAGAGAGAAATGAAAACATTCAACCCTGTGTGATGCTGATGCACTAAACGCTAAAATGTGGCTTTCAGAGGGTTTGTGGGCATAAAAGGAAACACAAGCCATAGCACCACCAGAGATGTTTTCATCTCCTACAATGATTTAACAAGATAAAGGCATAAGGCCCTGGGGTCCACTCCTAGCACCTGAAAAAGAAAAGATCCAAGAATGCTATCCTTTGGAAGACATAGTGAATACTCCAGAAAGAATTAATACACTCTTTATTTGCATTATTGATTAGAGAAATAATACAGGGGCAGACAAATACACTATCTGATTGCTATACCCGACTCCCCATAGAATGAGTCATCTTGAAATTAGTGCAATAAAACATGGCTACTTAAATGCTTTGGCATTTGATAGTTCTCTTCTTCTTCCTCATCTTCCTCTTCTTCTTTTAGCTGTACCAGAGATCGAACTCGGGACCTTGAGCTTGCCTTGCCAGGCAGGTGCTTATGCCACTGAGCTATTTCCCCAGCCCTGTTCTTCTATTTTATTTTATTTTTTGGCAGAACTGGGGATTGAACTCAGGGCTTGCGCTTGCCAGGCAAGCACTTATTCTACTGAGCCATCTCCCCAGCCCCTGTTCTTTTCTTCTTCTTCTTTTTTAAAATTTTATTTATTTATTTTTGCGGAACCAGGGATTGAATTCAGGCCCTTGAACTTGCCAGGCAAGTGCTTATTCTACTGAGCTATCTCCCCGGCCTTGTTCTTTTCTTCTTAATGCAAACTTTTTCTACAAGAAATTAATAATCTGGGCTGGTGAGATGGCTCAGTGGTCTAAAGCACCTACTTAGAACAAGCTTGGCAAAGCACAGGGACCGCGGTTCAATCCCCCAGCACCACATGCCAGCCAGCCCCGCCCCCTGGTGGGCTGAGCTGGCCACA